AGTCCTGTGACTGTCATCACTTTGTGGTTCTTGGTCATGTTCATGGCAATGTGACTTGACTCTTTGGGATGCGTGTGGTTTACTCTGCAGGACAAACTTCATTCCCGCAGCTTCCTGTGCTGGAAGTGAGTGTAGACCAGGGTCTCCAACCTTGGCGACAAAGCTGGCTGGGGAACTCTGGGAGTTGAAGTCCACCAGTCTTAATGTGGCCCATGTTGGAGACCCCTGCTTTAGGGGACCTTTATGTGTCCCTGCCAGCTCCTATGATACTGTGGTTCCTCAAACGTGTGTCTTGTGAGAAGGCCGAGGTTGGAGACCCCTGCGCCAGAGGACAAGGAAGCTGGGCGGTCCGGGGGGCTCCATGTTAGAGGGGTTTCTTCGTGGGAGGGGAACTTGGCTGAGGCCACAGGAGGCATTTCAGCCGCCGCCATCACCCCGTCCATCAGAGACGTTGGGGGTTCCGGGGGGCTGTCCCCCCACAGACGCCTCCCTGAGTGGGGTGTGGGCAGGTGGCCTCCCTTGGGTCGGCCTGATCTCCGTGCCTGTCCTTTCTCCAGGCGGTCAGTACTGGCTCTTCCGAGAGGCAAACCTAGAGCCCGGCTACCCACAGCCCCTGAGTAGCTACGGGCTGGGCCTTCCTCACGACAGAGTGGATGCTGCAGTGTGGTGGGAGCCCACGGGGCACACGTTCTTCTTCCGAGGAGACAGGTGGGTCATGGGTGGCCCAGGGCCCGCTCTTCCTCAGGTGGGCTTCTTCCCTTCATGGCGGGCCCTCTCCTCGGCAGGTACTGGCGCTTTGACGAGGATGGGAGCTCCGTGGGCCAGGGCTACCCCAGGAAGGTCAGTGTCTGGGCAGGGGTCCCTGCTGGCCCCAGGGGTGCCTTCCTCAGCCCCGACGCCGGTGAGTAGAACAAGCCGGCCCGGGAAATGGGGGAGGGGTGAGGCAAACGGCTGCAGATGGGAAGATCACCCTGGGAGCAGCTTGTCCAGAGTGGGAGGCTGGGCAAGAGGGAAACTGCTGAGGGAGAAAGGAAGCAGGACCACAGGATGGGAAAAGCTATCGATGCAGCGTCAATTCGTCCTTGAAAAAAATGAGCAATTGCTTAATGCCCACCCTGCGTAAATTAGGTTCAGCTTTATTAAAACTATCCTCCGTTTGGGCTGGTTTCAGCCACTGGCCTCCTTCAGATCTTTGGGACTGCAGTTCCCGGGTCTGTGAGTGAACTGCAGTCATGTCTGTATCCAGTACCTGTAAGCCAGAGAAAAGTAACCTGGTTTTATAGCAGTCAGGTGTTGGCCCAAGGCAGGTGGTGGTCCTTCTGCCTGGCTGGACCTCGGGGAACCCGGCCAACGGAGGCCTCCAAGCTGGGCACAGCTGCTGGCCTCTCTGCCTTGCCCCTCTGCCCCCCCCCTCCCGCTGCTGCCCGCCCTTCTCAGGGGCAAAGGCAGCGCTGAGGGAGCAGACCTTCCGGGCGCCCGGACAGCCGTGCTTGGACATTCAGTCCAGGGGTTTGGGGGGCAGGGCTGGGCACCCCACTGAGTCCAGGAGCCTTGCAGCTGCATTGGGGGATGCGGGGGAGGGGGGGTCTTGGGGGCCCTCCTGACCCATTGCCCTCCCCCTCTCTCTTCCAGCCTACACATATTTCTATAAGGGCAGATTGTACTGGAAGTTTGACAATGAGCGGCTGAAAACGGAGCCTGGCTACCCCAAGTCCATCCTGCGAGACTTCATGGGCTGCCAGGAGGAAGTGGCTGTGGAGCCGGACCCCGGCCATCGCTGGCCCGACACGGGAAGGCCCCCCTTCCAGCCCCGGCAGGACAAGGAAACCGAGGAGGGCGCTGCAGCCCCCCACCCAGGCCTGGAGGAGGAGGAGGAGGAGGAGGAATCTGCCGTGGAGAAGGAGGGTGGGGGGGAGGGGGCAGGGGACGTGGACATTGTGGTGCACATCAACGATTACCCGCTGACGGCGAGCATTGTCATGGCGGTGGTGCTGCTGCTGCTGCTGCTCTGCGTCCTGGGCCTGGCCTACGTCATCGTGCAGCTGCAGCGGAAGGGCCGGCCCCACATGCTGCTCTACTGCAAGCGGTCCCTGCAGGAGTGGGTCTGAAGCCAGAGAGCTGCTGTGGGGCAGGGGCAGGAAGAGGCCCCTCTCCTCCTGCACCCTCCCGGGAACACGGCCAGACTCTGACCCGTGGCAGGGGAGGCTTAGGGGCCCACCTGTGGGGCTGCAGCCCGGGGCCGGGGGCTGGGCCGCTCTGGCTGGAGGGATTGTCGGCCTGGTCAAGCGAGGAGAAGAGATGTGGCCGGCAAGGCATGGCTTCCTCCTGAGTTGCTGTTGGAGAGGGATCCTGGGGGTCTTGCCCCGAGACCCTCCATCCAAGGGGATGACCCAGGGGCAGCCTTCACTGTGTGGATCTTCTTCTGCATGTGTTCCGGAGGCGTGTTTGGATCTGCCGGCTGGGCCTCGGAGGCAGGGAGGCCCCCTTGTGCCATTTGCGGCAGCTGGTCTTGGCCAAGAGTGGGCATCCTTAGTGGCCAGTGGGCCAGAGGCGCAGGAGGGACAGGCTGACATCCTGAAAACCTTGATCTATTTTTGTAAATTCTTTTCTCCAGAGCCTCCCTGGTTACAAAGCTAAAGGTGGAGAAGTTCTTTCTACTGTAATCATATTTCTGTTCCTACTGATATTTACTTCTGCTTGAGCCCCCTGGAGACGCAGCTCAGGCCAAACGGGGGCTTCCACACCACAGCTCTAGGCCGCCCCTTCCAGCCTCCCCCGGTCGCTCCTTGACATGCACGCAGGCCGGGCCCACTGCTGCCTTCTTAGGTCTGACTGGAGCCCTTGGGAGGTGCTGGATGTAGCTCTCCACGAGGAGGGGGGGTCTGTGGGTTACGGGGTGCTGAGAGGAAAACGCCCCTTTTCCTAGACCTGGTAGCCACCGACTTGAATGGCCGCCAAATCCACTTGAACCAATGAAACTCTGACCACCTCTCTTTGGGGGAGAGGGGAAGGTTCCTGGCCGATGGAAGGACCCTACATGGGGGAGACACCCCCCTCCACAGGCTTCCTGCCAAAGACGAGACCCTGGTGGGAGCAGGTCAGCGAGGCTGCAGCTGCCCAAAGAATTTCAGAGTCAGCGCTTGGGCTGCGGCTTTCCCCACGCAGACATGCTCCGGCTGTGTTGCATTTCTCTGCCCATCGAGACACAAACCACCATTTTACCTTCTTCCTTCTGTGCCTGGCTCCGGCTGGCCTTTGGGGAGGAGGCCGGCTTGCAGTGGCCGCTGTGTCCTACCTCCTTCCCTCCCTTGTGCCGCCAAACACCCACAGGGAGCCCCTTGTGAAAGGCTGAGGGCCTTGGAGAATGGCTGCCTCCCACAGCCCCTCCCTCCCTCCCTCCCTCCCTGCCCATCGATCTGCTGCGCTTGGCATTTGGTGCATTAGGGAGAGCAGCCAGGCGGAGGGGGAGCATTTTCTGTGCATAAGCAACACGCACATGGTCATCGTTCACAGGCTGTCAATAAAAGTCCATTTGTGCTGAGGCTTTGTGTAAAGCTGCCTTTTCTTCGGCATGTCCTCCAACCGGCTGCCTTTCGCAAGAGTGAACGCCGCCTTCTCCTCAGAAGGGTCGGAAGATCTGAACTGAGGGCCAGGCCGGCCTTCCCTTTGGGGTCTTGGGGGCCTTTTAAGCCAGCCTGGGCATGGAGGGGCTGGTGAGGGCCGCTTAGGGCAGCCAGCTGAGGGGGCAGCCCCTTCAGGGTCCACCTGGAGACCTGGGGCACTCGAGCCCAGCTTCACCTGGGTCCCCCCTTCCCTCGGCTGCCTAAGAAGGTCCTAGAGAGATGGGGAGTTGTGGTCCTGGTGGCCTTTTTGTGTGGGGACACCCACAGTTGAGGGGACTTGGGTGGGGTCCCTGTACAACAGGCCCCCTCAGGACAGCTGCTTTCTCTCCCTCTCACCAGGACCAGGCAGGCTCTCTGACCGCTGGCCAGATGTGCCAACCTGAGGCCTGGGGGCTGCTCCTTGTCTGCCCAAGAGCCGAGGGAGTCCTCACTGCCTCTTAGTCTTGGGCAGCCAGACTCAGTTCCCCATTTGGTGGTTGGAAGGCTTGGGTGCTTTTAGCTTCTCGTGAGCTGCTGCTCTTGTGGGGCATCAACTGCCAGCTGGGGGAGTTTGCAACCTGCACTAGCCAAGCCGTAAATTCTCTTGCTTGGGTTTGATGAGGAGACTTAATTTGGTTACTGAATTCAATCCCAAATGGCCTCGGCTCCTAAGCGGCCAGGCCAACTAGAGGCACAAATGCAGCTCTTAAGGTTTTGACCACCTTGGTGAAGAGGGTGGGGCACATGCGGCACCCAGTTCGGATTCTGACATGCATCTCACCCGTTTCGGCCGTAACTCTTGTTCTCGCTCTTTGATCCCACGGAGATAGCAAGATACTTTTGCAGTTTGCACAGGACTGGAAGGAACTGGAGCCCCGGCTGATGGTGGCCCTGTCCCTGCAGGGAGGAGGGGAGACAGCTGAGGGCCCGGCCCCAGGATGCCCCGCCCAGACTCTCCCCCCCCCCCCCCCCCCCCCCCCCCCCCCCGCCCAGTTTTGGTTGCTACAGTAGGAGGAGGCTTCCGAGGGAGTGGAAAGAGGGCGGAGAAGATCAACCAGGAGAGTTACAGGAAATCTCTCCAGCCTGAGAGGAAGCTGAGGGGAGACAGAGAGGAGAAGGGATGGTCGAGTGGGCCTATAATGACAGACTTCAATGAGCCTTGGTGGCGCAGCGGTTAGGGTGCAGTACTGCCGGCTGCCAGCAATTTGGCAGATCGAATCTCACCAAGCTTCAGGTTGACTCAGCCTTCCGTCCTTCCAAGGGGGGTAAAATGAAGACCCGGATTGTTGGGGGCAAGAGGCTGACTCTGTAAACCGCTTAGAGAGGGCCATAAAGCACTATAAAGTGGGTATATAAGTCTAAGTGCTATTGCTATTGTTATCTGAGAGGCACAGAGGGAGAGAAGTTACCCTCTGTTGCTCCGTTATGTCATAAATGCACAAGGAACCCAGTTCTTGCCATTTGTTAATTGTTTTGTTGTGGGGTAGTATAAAATGAAACAATTTCCTATTGTGGAACAGCGCTCTGCTCTGAATCCAGCGTGTTTCTCCACGAAGAGACTTCTTTCCATTACCACATTTTAGATCTCAGTGCGGCTTTTGATTCTATAAACGGAAACGTTATGTGGATGAAATTGGCCAATTTAAATATGGGACCTGGACTCTTAATTTTTGGTCAAGACCCTCAAACGCCCATTTGAAAGTCTGCAAGGCGTAAGGAAGGCTGCACCCACCCATCACAGGGCCAGGCAGGGCTGTATCCCAGCCTCAATGCTTTTTAATTTCTATATCAATTATTTACCAGGATTCCTGTATGCTGCAGACACTTGTATGCCAAAGATCCACGATAAATTTATTAATGCCCTTTTATATGCTAGTGGCATCGTTCTAATGGCCCATTTCCAAATAGGCTTGGGAAGACGGTGGCAGAAGCTAAATACTACTGTGCTCTTAATTCTTTAAACATCAACAGAAACAAAATTAAATGGATGGTATTTAGCAAAAAAAAAGGGTGTGAAATATAACTGGCAGATAAATGGGGAGCCTATTGAACAAATGAATTTTTTAGCTAGTTAGGAGTGGTTTTTACCTGAACATTTTAAAAGAAGCTTGGCAAGGGATCAGTATTAAAAGATTAGACAACTACTACTACCCAGGTACCTTGATCCCTATACTGAAAGTATTCAGGGCAGAAATAGTCCCAATGTTGCCCTATGAGCACGAATTTGTGGGGGGGTGGGGTGGGGGGGCTGAATAAAGCTGCCCCACTTGAACAAGTACAGGGCATTTTTAAAATGTGTCCTGAACATGGATAAGAACTCATCTGCCTTTGCGATCAGAGCAGGAAAAAAAGGATTAATTCCTTACATAGCGGTCTAATAACTAAAATTGTCACAGAGTGAGAGGCTGAGGATCCATTCAAGGAGCCCTGAGAGCCTTCCCAAAATAGCTGAGCTGAACAGGTGAGTGTGGCCCAGCCCAACTCCTGGATCAACCAACTGTCCAAAATTATTTCACAGGAGGGTTTTCTATCCAGCATCTGCTCTCATATTGGCCTCATAGGCAAGGGACATTTTTAAACCGAGAGTCTTCAATATCAAGCTAACATGGAATTCTTGGCTGAAAAGATTGGTTGGTCAAAGAATAAAAGTATCTTTTTTATTCAGAATAATACTTGCCATTGAATCTGACACAGTCTTTAAGAAGGACTTATTCAAGAGCAAGATTTGAGTTATGTCATATTTTGAGAGAACCTGTATATCCAGCAGCCACTGAAAATATTTGTCATATTTCGTTTGACTGTCAATTGTATGCCTCCATAAGGCTTAACTACTTAGCTTCCCTTTTGGAAAGAACAGCTCAGTGGGATCTGAATCACATTTTGTCATCATTCCTCCTGGGCTCAGAGGTGTATAATGGACGTAGAACTGCTTATAACTAAGGCAGCCATCCTACGAGCCCATGGCATTGAACACATTGGGATACCCTGCAAAGGGAGATGATGCTCTGTATTAACACACTTGTTTTTTTATCGCTTTAATTCTGCCTTTCTTGTTTCAAAATTAGACTATGTACTGTATTTTATTTTATCTTATGGATAAGGTCACAAGACCAATCAATCAATAAACTACAGTATGAGGAAGGAGTTCCGGGCTGGGCGTGAGGAGGGATGGCTTGACTGTACGAGCTGCTAGCCAGCAGAAGAAGCTCTGGCGTCCTAAGTGGAATTGCCCTGTGCAGGAGAGGCCTTCAAACAGAAACTGGAGGGACCTCAGTGGCACAAAAGGTTAAACTAGGTCAGGGGTCTCCAACCTTGGCAACTTTAAGACTTGTGGACTTCAAGTCCCAGAGTTCCTCAGCCAGCAAAGCTTAAGGTCTTGTTGGAAGTTAAAACCCACCCCTCTCCTAGGAAAATGAAATGTTTTAGGATATATTAAAAGGGCAGAATATCTCCCCTGAAAAGAGAAGTAGAAACCCAGAAGCAGAAACTCACCTTAGAAGCAGAAGCTCACAACCACCTTTGTTAATGGGCGGGCCATTAAGGCCTAGGCCCGGGTATTCTACATAACAAAGGCCTCTACCCACCTCACCACCTGGCCTGGGAAGATTGCATCATCCAGCACTCAGGTGAAGCCATGTGGTCCAGCTAAGACACACCCGTGGGAGTCCGACAGCCAATGGGATGCATTTCTTGCACAGGAACAGGAAACACTTCAGGTGGGGCCCAACAGAGGGTCTATAACTAAGGCACTCTCAGCATCTCAGCCTTTCCCTTCTTTCTTCGTCACCCAGGGCATGTGATCCTGTCCACCATTAAACCATCTTTCCAAGCAGTCACCACGTTTCCAGTGTCTTTCTTCCCCTCTTGGAACTGAACCCAGAAGGCTCTTTTCTTCCAACAGTCTTAAAGTGGCCGAGGTTGGGGACCCCTGCTTTAGGGGACCTTTTTAGGCCCTTCCATCTCCTATGACCCTGTGCTTCCTCAAACGTGTGTATTGTGAGAAGACAACGAGGCAAACACAACCTTCGACAGAAATCCTGCATTTCAGGGGGCTCCAGTTGCAGAAGCCCAAATGCTGTTGCCCACGCCCACCCCCCAAAGCAAAGGAAAGTCCTTGTGATGAGAAACAGTGGAGGGAGGGAGGAATTTTGCCCAGTCCTCAAATCTGAAGCTGGCCCACAAGCCTAAGACAAAGGCCAGCTTTCTTCCCCGCTCCTGAAGGAGGAGAGCAGGGTTGGAACAGGCCCAGGGCTCTGCTGAAGTCCACACTGAGCAGCTTCTGTCTTCGACGTTTAGCTGATGG